ATATGTCTTTGATTACTTATGTTGGTGCACCACATTCTGGTTTTGATGGAGGTGTTGACAAGATCAGTGGGTCGTGCACATCGCTCGCACATGCAGGGGCGCTCCAAGCAGTAGAGACGAACACGACCGACGAGGCGTACAAACACTTACTTCGAGAGCTCGAGAGCGTTGGTCGTGTTGGAGATGCACAGTCGCACCCCGAGCGCTTGAGTATCTTTGTTTTGGCAGGTGATGGTGGGTCCGAGAACCCAGGTTCCTTCAGGCGAGCGAGTGCAGCAAGAGCAGGACTTCCCAATTCATGTGTATCTCTTATGGTGTGTTTTCCATTGTATTCATCTCATCGTCAAGGATGTGCTGGAGGTGTTGGATAGTCTGGATGGGGCATTGGCGCATTCGAAATCATAGTTCAGTTCGCTGGCGACGATTGCGAATGTGATGCGATCGACTGGTATCCGATCTAAAATCAAGCAATTTGTTTCAGAGTTCCATCCTACCTGCAGGGGCTTCGACAAGACTCCAGGCAGATGTATTCGAGATCGCTGGGGCTCAGTGGATTCGGTCGAGGCGTATATCCACAATGTTTCAGACGTGGTCGCTGATGTGTTCAAGAAGGTGTTCGAACCAAAAATTGCAGCTGCTGAGCGTGCAAAAAAAAAACGAGCTCGAGCAGCACCTGGTGTCGACGAGGAGGACTGCTAAGGTTTGCAAGCATCTAACACCATCCAGGCCCCCCAGGGTTGGGTGGTGGTGGTTGTGTGAGGGGTTGGGCAGGGTGGCCTTGGTGGGTGATGGTCATGGTCAGGTGGCAGGGTGCGAGGACATCCCCGACCCCGAGAGCCACTGGAGGAGGTGTTAGACATTTGCATCGCCAGGACGAGTACCAGGAACAACGAAAAATACAGACTGAATGCAGTTGCAGCGACATCGTCAATCACATTTCTTGGGCTGGTGGTTGTCTCGCTGCTTGGCAAATCGGTTTTAACTCATTTTTTTGAAGTGGGGTCAGAAGGCAGTCAAGGAGCACAACAACGACATCGCCAAAGCAACAAAACACGAGTCTACATATCTTGGGCCTACACTTTTACCAAAGCTCGTATGTGGTCGTGCGGAAGGGATGTGGGGCGACTTGGACAATTTAATTCTCTTGCACAGCTGTGCTCTAGAGCTCGGACATCTTGATTTTCGTCGTTCGTCGTGTCGTTCGCCCCCCTCGCCCCCCCCCCCCCTGTCCACGCTTCCCAGGGTAGCCCCCCTGGGCCACGGAACCTTTTATTTTCGTCGTTCGTCGTGTCGTTCGCCCCCTCGCCCCCCCCCCCCCGCCCCCCTCGCCCCCCCCCCCCTGTCCACGCTTCCCAGGGTGCCCCTCGCTCCCCCCCCCCCCTGTCCACGCTTCCCAGGGTAGCCCCCCCTGGGCCACGGAACCTTTTATTTTCGTCGTTCGTCGTCGTTCGTCGTTCCCCCACCCCTCCCGCACCCCTCGCCCCCCCCCCCCCCTGTCTGCGCTTCCCAGGGTGCCCCTCGCCCCCCCCCCCCCCCCCCTGTCCGCGCTTCCCAGGGTAGCCCCCTGGGCCACGGAACACTTTTATTTCGTCGTTCGTCGTGTCGTTCGTCCCCCCTTGGCCCCCCCCCCCCTGTCCGCGATTCCCAGAGCCTCGGGCACCTTTGTGCAAGAGCCAGGGCACGCGTGCCACTTGTTTCACAGGAAAGCATGCATGACCCTGGGAGGTGGCAGCAAGTGTTGCAGTTTGTGGATGACGGCGATCGCAGTTCAATGCTTTGCCTTATCATGAGAAATGTTTTGCTGGTGGCATCGGCTTTTCAGTATCGAATATTGGGTCGTACGAGAACGTTTCCACTGCTTCTTTGAAGGTTGCTGGATGCCCCAGCACATGTGGAGGATACCGCTCGCATGGAGATCGCGAAAATGTGGTTGGATGCATCGTCGGAGGAGCTGTCGCGCAAGGGCACTGGTGATATGGCAGAGAAATTTCGAGAATTTTACATGCCAGAGATTACACACGCATGCGGGATATAGGATCTGTTCCGATGAAAGTATATGGGGCGCTCTTAATTCGGCGATCTGTTCTTCCTCTGGACAACCAAAGGTTGGAGGGCGTGGCATCGATCATCCAAATCATGTGCAAGATTGCTCCGGACAGCAGGCACGCTTTTAATTTCGGACCGATCTTGTATCAAAAAGGTGGTTTGGTTTCAGCTTCTGAGTGTGAATGTATGGATGCGTTGGTTCGTTCCCGTATGGAAGACGATTCGCATGTCCATCGCTTCCTTCCTGTTGCCCTGCTAGATCAAGTTCCATGTCGCCCAGCTTATCGCCTACCCATTGCAGAGTATCACAATATAGTATCTGGCTGTGCTTATGGTGGCTACGGTATCATGGAGATCGGGCCGAAACTAGTTTACACATTCGGTTCGGCAGTGCATGGTGTACGTCATGGCTTCATCTGCACCTGGGGTTATTTTAGCTGTCTGTTTGTTGCCGGATGCGAGCTGAGGAAGAGCGACTCCGATCCTAATTGTGTTATGGCATCCCTTATGCGACCCCTGCTGATCAGCGCGCTGCGTGATTTTTTGGTCGAGATGGTGCAAATGGGGCGAATTGGCGAGGAACGCCTTGCGAAGAAACAACTTCCAGGGCAGAGGTCAGCGAAACAGCCGCCACTGCCACTCTACTTCGCCAAATGCATGTGGAGTGGCATTGGCGAGGGTTCATGCGATCTTGGGGGCGAGAATGTTGTCGAGTGTGTTCCAAGGGTTCCTGCGAAAAGCTGCAGGCCAGAAACGCCACCCACCTGAGGCAGCAGCAGCAGGCTCTGCAGCAGCAGGTGTAGAGCCGATCGCAGACGATGATGGCGATGGCGAAGAGGCCGAAGAGGTCGATCTGGAGGCAGGGCTCGCAGATATTTTGGCTGCCGAGTATCCAGAGTTCTTCGGTGACGCTGATGCTGACGCAGAGCCCCCCCATGGCGATGATGGGTTTGGTTTGGGGGGCGACCCCGAGCTCGAGCAAGCCTGCGACTCCGATGGTCACGAGGCCCCAGAGCCATTGGCTGAGGAGGAGGATGTACATAAGAAGGTAGATGCTTTTTTTTTCACCCAGCGAGTGATAAGCTTCGGGCGGTCTTGTCTGAAGCGGATGAAAATCGTCTAGTGGCCAACCTTAGGGCTGCGCACTCCGATCGGATCGAATCCATCCGTGTGGCTCGAGCTAGGGCAGCTGAGTGTGCTACACATCCAATGGGGCAGGGGCGCATCTCTTCAGTGGCGACAGAGTTTGCATGCTGCTTCGTGCACTGGTCAGATGTTGCATCTCGCCCGGGTCGAGTTTTAACCATCGACAAGTTTGGGCGAGTAGTCAGCCCCATGTATGCAAAATATAAGCCCCAATATTTTTCCACTGCGAATGTACTTGTCGAAGACACGGGGTTCCCTATTCTAAGGGGCCCAAGGGGGAGAGGCCACACATGAGCCCTTGGTGCTTTCTTCTCCAAGCACTGCATCGGCTTGCGCAGCACACGGGGCCACAGGACGAGGTCTCGTATAATGAAGAGTGTGTTGTGTGTTCTGCATTGCGTGGCACCCCAGAGCATTATCGGAAGCTGGTTGAAGCTTCAGGTGGTGTGCATATGCATGGCTGCTCCTCCTGTGCTTTGCCATGGCATGCTGGGTGTGCCCGAGCACTCTCCGAAATTGGCTCAGACAAAGACGTCGACGAGCCAGAATTTTTGTGCCCCCCTCTGTACGAATGCCTAACACGTCCATGCATGCACTTGCGCTGTTGGGGAAGTCTTGGCCCCGACCAATGCTAATCGCATCCATCATCAGCGTCGGGCATCGTCGTCGTGGCATCCATCACCAACATCATGCATCATCGTCATCGCCGTGGCATCGTCGTCGTCACATCGGGAAATCGGCGTCTCAAGTCATCATATCGTCGGTCTATATGTCCTGGTTGTCGTCCTGTCCCTTTCCCTCCCCTCCCTGGCTCTGCCTGCTGGGCTGCGTCGGCCCATCGTCCCTGTCGTCGAGAGGGAGATGTGGTGTCTGAGACTGCCCCCCACACTGCTTTTCTGCATGCCCCCCCCCAGCAGAGAACGTGTTCAGGCAGACCCCTCCTGTGCCATCGTTTTTTTCTTCCCCCGAGAGGGCGCCAAGGGTCACCCTAAAATGGGGCGGATTTTAGAGTGACCCTGGCCCTTCCATTCCCATCGGGGTTGTTTGTTTTGGTGGTGTAGATTCAAATCAAGTTAAGTGTTGGGGGGTATAGAAGTTATCAAAAAAAGGTCGATTTTCAATCCGAGTTGAAAGTTGGATGCCAACTTTCAACCCAGCAGCTTCCCGAGCCAACATGTTTGAACGTTGGAGGTTGGATTTCAATCGCGATTGAAAACCGCCCCCCCCCCGAGCCAGGCCCGAGCCATGCCGAGGAGGCCATGTGGCCAACAGAATTGGTCGAGTTCGTGCTGGTGGAGCTCTGCGCGCGCAGCCCCAGGGCCTGGGGCTGGGGCCCCCAGGCCAATGACTTTACAAGGGGGATGGGGGAGGAGGAGCAATGGAGCAATGGAGCAATGCAGAGAGCGTGCAATTGAATCACGAGCACACCCCGAACTACGAAAAAACGGACACCGACCACTTTGGGACGAAAATGGTCGGCGGTTTCCTCCCTCGCCCTCTCCCCTTCCCTCGCCCTCGCCATTCCCCCAACCTTGCCCCCCCCCCCCCCCCCCCCCTTCCCACCTCATCCCTCATAGCCATGTTGGCCTTGCCCTCCCCGTCCCTCATAGCCATTTTGGCTCACGCATGTCTCATTCGATTTGGGGCAGGCCAGACGCGCCGCCAGCACCTCGGACACCGAGCGCACTTCGAGTGGCACAATGCCGTTAGACCCGACGGTTGCTGCAGAGCAGGAGGAGAACGCGTTCCTGGCTCGCGCCGCAGAGCGAACCACCCAGAATAAGTAGGGTCCTGGGCTCAGCGACCAGGAGTACCAGCAGAAGGTCGACGACGAGTTCTGCATCGACAACGACTACCACCTGAAGTACCTGGCCAACAAGGGGGTGTGGCGAGTCAAGAGGAACGCCTTCAACGATAGGGGCGACCCAGGCTCTATCTCTGACAGGGAGCGAAGTGTGTCTGCCATCGGCGTGCTCGACACCAAGGTCGCGTGGCTCGTGCAGGACGAGAACCCCAGCAACAAAGGGGGCGTAACGTCGATCCACTCTGCGACTCTCATCAGCGGCCTCCATAGGGCTTACATCAGTGACCATGGCAGGAACAACGAGCAGGTGCAGATCGCGATCGCTAATGGGATGAAGCACTGCAAGCTATACTCTCGTCGTATCTACGAGTTCCCCGAATGCCTCGTCAATCTCAAGGACCTCGGCAACATCGCGAACGACATTCGGACATCGACGCCGCCGCTGGAGGCATGGAGGTCCACAGCAGCGGTCGAGACAGAGTTCAAGAAGCAGACCGAGGCGAAGCACTGGGCGATGCAGGCAGTTGGTGGCCAGAAGAAGTGGAGGTACATGAAGTGTGAGATCGCCGAGGCGCTCTTCAAGGGTCGCTGGGCCAACCCGAATGCCTACGAGGTGTGTGCGAGGAGCTACAACTTCCTGACGAAAGCCTTCCACCCCGACGATGCCAAGCACCCCTACCTGATCACCCCGAACCCATATGCTGGGAAGAGCTTGTGGGACGAGCTGCAGCGCAAGCCATCCGCCTATGCCGACTTCAGCAAGATGCCGGCCTCGCAGATGGTGAACGTCTTCCAGGTCGCTGCCGACGTTTTCAGGCTCATCAAGGCCGAGGTGGGCTTCATGGTGGATATCGTCATGTTGACCATCCCGAGGGTTGTCGAACCCGACCACAGTGGGGGTGGTGGTTCGGCGGTTTCTGGTGGTGGTTGGGGTGTGTGCCAGCTTTGTCCAATGTCCCTGCCATTGCTGAGGAGTATCTCCGACGAGGGCCTCAAATCGCTCGAGCAGCCGATGGGTGCGAACTCGGGTGTGCAGGTGGAGGTGGCCAAGAGAAAGCTTCTGGAGGCGACCAAGGCGAACCCACCAAAACGAAATCGGCGAAGGGCAACAGCACGAATCGGAAGGCTGGGGAGCTCGAGAACAGCGTGGAGCAGATGTCGGTGGTCCCCGAGGAGGCGAAGGATGACTCCATCGAGCCCGAGGTGTGCGAGCAGCAAGCCTTCGCCATGCACCTTCGCGAGCAGTTCGCCTACTTGACGAAGCTGGACACGGGTGGGAGGCAGAAGAACAAGATCAACACCTTCTACACCATCGCGCTCTGTGGTATATGTTCGCAGTCGGTCCCCCTCTTCATCAACAAAAAGGCCAAGCAGATCAGCGAGTGGTCGAAGTTGAGGGTTGCCTTCAAGACTATCATCTACAAGTCCGCAAGCGACAGGTCAGGCCCAGCGACCAGGACCACATTGACATCATGAAGGACATCGAGGAGGCCACCGATGACCCCACTACCTTGGATTCGATCGCGAACGAGACCATCCAGGCGAATATGGAAACCTTCAAGGATATCGCTGGCTGCATCGCTTCGTTCCTGGAGTCGGCGAGGCCTGAGACAGTGCCAGTCGTGGCATCGGTCCATGCTGGGGAGGTCATGAACTCTGCCATGCTCGCCTTGCTGCAGAAGGTGACCAATAGCGGTGGCTTCTTCGAGAGTCACAGGGATGCTTGCATGGAGCTCGCCAGCATGATCTGCAGCGAGGTGTTCGACATCATCCCGTCCTCGTGGGACATGTGCTCAGACTTCGTCTGGAAAGTTGTGGAGGCAGATAAAGCGACTGCCTTCGCTGGGGCGCTCTGGACGATCTACGAGCAGTTATCCAAGTTCGGCAACGTCTCCGACATGCTGGCCAAGGTTCGCATCTCGACCTTCGCCCACTGCCTGAAGTCGCTGGGCATGCAGCGCTTCAACTGTCGGGACCCTACTTCGCACGAGATCAAGCAGCTCGTGTACCTGCCAGACATCGTCGCACATATCACCGACCAGCTCTACAGTGACTGCGGCTGGACGAAGAGTTCTGTCAGGGAGAGTGGGCCGACAGTATTCCAGCAGTCCATGGCGAGGAGCTCGGCCACAGAGATCGAGTTCGTCAAGGACTGCTACAGCAAGGCCTTCGACATGTGGGAGTTCTGTGTGGCCAAACATGGCTATGGCTTTCGCGACAAGCGCAGGCTGAACATAGGACTGAAGCCCACCTGCCCCTGCCCCTCCCAATTTCGGATACATGTTTCAGGGGTGGTTCTCCCCGTTTGCTTTCGTTTTCTCATGCCCTTGATTTGGGGGCAGTTTGCTTTTCGTGAGGTTGTTTGGAGTGCTTGGGGTCTGTTTGTGGGTTACTCGTAGTATCTGGGATGCCCCTGGATGCCCTAGGACTGTCCCGAAAGAGATCGTGGTGCCCAGGGGATGTGGGATGTAGGGGTCTATGGGCCATGGACTCTATGGCCCATAGACTCTCAGATATCTCAGGCCCCTCATGGGCTGTGTGTGTGTGTGTGTGTGTGTGTGTGTGTGTGTGTGTGTGTGGGTGTGTGTGTGTGTGTGTGGTGTGTGTGTGTGTGGGGGGGGGGTGGGTGGGTGGGTGGGGTGGGGTGGGGTTGGGGTGGGGTGGGGTGGGGGGGGGGGGGGGGTGGGGGGGGGGGGGGGGGGGGGGGGGGGGGGGGGGGTGGGTGGGTGTGGGTGTGTGTGTGTGTGTGTGTGTGTGTTTGTGTGTGTGTGTGTGTGTGTGTGTGTGTGTGTGTGTGTGTGTGTGTGTGGGGGGGTAGTGGGCAGGAGTAAGCTTCAGTCCTGTTGCAGGGTATTCCAGGCCGAGCTCGAGAAGACGCCCTCGACCAAGATGGGTGAGGTCCTCCAGAAGTATGGCATGACCATTCTCTCTGGCTTCCTCTCCACTCCGAGGGCCGACATCTTCCCAGCAGATCGGCAGAATAACATCAGTTTTGTGATGGACAGCTGCTACAACGAGTTCTTCAAGACCGAGCTCGAGGCCTACAACAAGATCCAGGAACCCATGGCTGCTTGGACCAGGGCGATCGACAATCGGCCTTCGCAGCCTGCAGCCACCGCGAGCATGGTTCCAGCCAGCGCCGACAAGGACAACAGCCCCAGTATCGTCGAGCTCAGCAAATGGTGGTCGGACGTAGTTGACACAGAGAAAGACTACAAGTACTATGTCAAGAAGCAGCTCATGCACGACCTATAGGGCGAGATCTTCAAGCGAATGAAGGGCTGCTACGCCAAGGCTTGCGAGGATGGAACGGTGGCAAACATCAAGATCGAGCTGGTGCCTGCGACCGACCCTACGAAGCAGGAGAAGAAGGGCCCGAAGATTGTGCTTCGGCGCACTGTCGGTGGCGATGGCAAGTTTTGTAGTCTCCCTTTCCTTGGGCGAGTCGTGGAGGAGGGCCCCGCGCTCCACATGTCGAAGCAGACCACCTTGTTCTTGGGCGATGGTTGTACCAGCACTGGCACAGCGAGGCCCGTGCCATTGCACTTGGATGGCTCTTCGTTTACCAATGCCTCCAGGAGCGACTGTTGCATCGCCTTTTGCATGTTGGCATTGCCCCACACCAAGGACAAGGAGGCAGGCCAGGTGGTGGACGTCGTGCAGGCCTCGTCATCATCGTCGGCCCAGGCTGCAGCGCCCGAGAAGCAGCCGACAGCCAAGAAGCCCAAGAAGCAGGAGCACAATGCTACACACAAGATCGTGTTCGATGACTCCGAGCTCCAAGACCTGAACGGCGACTCGCACATCTACCAGATCCCCTTCCTGGTGGAGTTGGAGTCCGAGGACGCCAAGAAGATCGATAGCCCTTTGTACAGGGAGCTGCTGGATTTCGACATCCAGAAGCCAGCACCTCGCAGAGGTTGCAAAGGCATCCTTCGCCTTGAAGTGACCGGCAGCAGTATCAGCAGGATGGCAAGTGCAGTGCTGCTGTCGAGCTGTCGTGCCTAGTTAAGTCTAGCACAGTGCATCCACTGTGCAGAAAGCGCCTCTTGGCAGAGTTTGGTTGGAGTTGATTTGGGAGCTTATCCATTCTGCTGCCGAGCAGGCGAAAGTCGGCCACAGTGGCCCTTGGGCCCCTTCTCTTCTTTCGGCCTGGCTGCTCGGGGCTGGCAGCTCAGAGCTAGTTCATGATATGTTCGGCCAGTCAGTGGCCAAGTAGGCAGGCATGCAGCCCTCTCGCACAGCCCAGCCCATAAAGAAAGCAAGAAATGCATGACAGCAGCATAACATCAAGGGTGGTTATCACATCTTCGCTTTCTCCCCCAAGCTGGAGGGCTGCAGACAACTTTAATAGTTCTCTAGAAGTTGGCCAGCGTGTGCGATGGCATCGCCATGAAAAATGAAAAAACAGCATCGCCGCCATCATTACCATCACCATCTGCATCGTCACCACCATTGTCATCATCATCACCACCACCCCCATCACGTGATCATCGCAATCGGCCGCGCCATGGTTGCAACCATTGCCATTGGCATCATCATCGTCATCATCATCATCACCATCATGATCACCATCGTCGTTCAGCCTTGTTTTTCGAGCATATGGGATAGCCCTAGCAGAAACGTGCAGAAACATTCCTCCTCCTCCTCCCCCCCCTCCTCCTCTTCCTCCTCCTCCTCCCTCCTCCCTCCTCCTCCTGAGGAGGCGCTCAAACAATCACTCCTCGATCCTCGAGGGCCTGCGGCAGCACTTGGGCTCCCTCCCTCCAGTTCGCAGTGGTGTGCGTTGCAGCTGGGGGGTGGTTTTTGCTGCGAGCATTTGGCAGCCACTTCTGGTTTGTGAGAGCGGGTGTCCCGCATTCAGTCTTCAATGTTGGGGGGGGTGTGGGGGTGAATCTTTTCAATGGGGAGGGGCGTGGTTCGAAACGACCAGGTCTGATTTGAAACCAGTTTTGGCCCGCAAACCTAAGCACATGTCCTTCCCCACCGCAGGCTTCTCCGGGAACATCCGGGTGGGGGAGTAGGAGGATGAGGAGGATGAGGAGGAGGAGGAGGAGGAGGAGGAGGAGGAGGAGGAGGAGGAGGAGGAGGAGGAGGAAAAGGAAGAGGAGGAGGAGGAGGAGGGGCGAAACAATGGGGACTGCGAGAGGAGGATACGGACTTGGAGGAGGAGGAGAGGGGAAGGCTGATCAGGATACTGGCAGAGGAGGATAAAGGGGGTGAAGGAGGAAGAAACGGAAAAGGGCGAGGAGGCGTGAACATTGAGTAACGCGGAGGCAAGAAAAATAGGCGGAGCTAGGGCAGAGGCAGGATATCAGGGAGGGGAAGGAAGAGAAGGAGGTTGTGGAGAAGGAGGGCGACGACGGCCACGAGGGAGGATGAGGAGGGGGAGGGGGGCGCGGCGGATGTATGCTCTGCAGCGCCATCGCGCGGCGGACTTTGTTGGGTCGGTGATGAAACAGCGAAGACGAGAGCAGCAACACGTGGCGCCGTGGCGCAACCGTGTCTAGAACCTAAGCGAGCGCGAAGCGCGTGCGCGTGTTTCTAGTACATGTGCTCACACATACATACACATATACTTGCACATACATCTGTATACATATGTATATATTATATTATATATATATATATATATGTGTGTGTGTCGTCAAGTAAAAGCCCCTGAGTAAAGGGACTGTTTGGGGAAATTGGCCGCTCGGGGCGGCTTCCCAACCAAGAAAGCCCGCGACGGCACTCGAGAGGGGTTCGAAACGGGCTGGGGGACCATCGCAGGCCGTGCTGGAAGTGTGGCATCCCGACCTCGCCTCCGCGGCCCCTGGCAAGATCATTCGGCGACGAGCGAGGAGGGGGGTGGAAGTGAGAAGGAGAAGACCTTCTCAGAAGGCGGCGGGGCTTCTCAGAAGCCTTCGGGCCCTGTGACAGGTTTTCTGTGTCGTCGAGGAAGGCGCAGACAACTTCTCAGAAGGCCTCGGGACTTCCGAGCCTTCTGAGAAGGTCTTCTCCCCTCCTCCTCCTCCACTCTCCTCCTCCTCCTCCTCCTCCTCCTCCTTGTCCTCCTCCACCTCCTGGCTCCTTCCCTCCCTTCTCCTCCTCCTCCTCCTCCTCCTCCTCCTCCACTTCTCACTTCCCCCTCCCTGGGCTCGCCGCCGAATCACGCGAGCCCAGAAGCGCCTGAGGGCGCCCCGAGACGTTGGCCCCAGGCCCCTTCCAGAGCCATGCGCGATGTGTAGAACTCCAAGGGGCCTAAGCGCGCTCCACTCAGTGCCAGCGGCGCGGTGGCGGATACGTGGATGAGCCGCGATTTGGTGGCTTCAGCGAGGCAGACATCATCAGCTTTCTCGAGGTTGTCCGCAGGAAACTTGCCGACGGAGGCCTAGCTCTGGTGGCTTACGCAAACCGTGAGCCCCGTGGAGCCCAGATCATTGAGGAGTGCTCAGCGCAGTGTGGGCTCCGGTGTTTGGCGTTACCTCTGCGTAGTTTCATTGGCCCAGAGGTGCTGCATGCCGAGGGGGCGAACGCGCTTTCTCAGGTTGTCTTGTTCGGATTTGTGGTCAACGGGGGCGTGGCTACTGAGAGCGGCGGCGCCGCGCCAGAAAAATTCTGGCTGGGCGCTCACGGCCTTCTGAGCAGCTCGCCCTCGCTTGTCGCCTGAGTCCCCCCTTGGGGCGCCCTGCCGGAGCTCAGGAGGAGGAGGAGGAGGAGTAGACTCATCAGCGATGCTGGAACACGCCTCTCTCCAAGATCCCTCTTCAGAGGCTCCTACACGGATTCAGCTCCACGAAGAAGTGCCCCGTTGGGAGACAACCGTTTGAAGATTCTGAAGCGTGCCAAACATAATTCTCGGGACTTCAACGCTACGAATCAACTTGACTGTTGCGTCTTGACGATCCGGAATCGTGCCGAAACACCAGTCCTGGGACTTCGACTCCGCGACTCCATGTAACTGTTGCGCCCTGACAATCCAGAATCATTCCAAAACGCCGTTTCTGGTTCGTTAACCATGGAGATCCGTGAAGCACGTGCAATTTTTAAGACGAACGTGGTTGGCGCTAAGGCCAGATCCATATGTTAAGCAATAACCGCCCTTACTCCGTGAAACTCTTGCTAGTTTTTTTAGCGAACGTGCGCGGCGCTGAGGCGAGAGCCACATTTTGAAACCCGCCCGCCCCGAGTCCGTGAAACACTTGCAATTTGTTAAGTGTGCGCGGCGCTAAGGCGAACGCCACATTTTGAAAACCACCCGCCCTCAATCCGTGAAACTCTTGCAACTTTTCAAGACGAATGTGCGCGGTGCTGAGGTGAGAGCCACATTTTTGAAGCGGCCCGCTCCCCATTTGTGAAACTGCTGCCACTTTCTAAGCTTCAGGATCATTGATGGTAAGGAAGTCTCAGGCGAAACGCTTGGCCCGCCCTCCCGACCAGCCTCGGGGTGCGCCTCGGGGTGCTACAGGGAATGAAGGGGGAGGAGGAGGTGGAGGAGGAGCCACGAATAGTCTTCCGTGACCAATGTTCTACGCAGCGTGGCAGGCTTCTCCACGCCTTTCCGCCGGAGCTAACACGGCGCGCGGCGCCCCTTGTCGATCAACGATTCCGGCAGCTCGATTGGCGGCTGGGGCAGGGTTCGGAAGTCGTCGAGCGCGTGTCGAAGTCCGAGCCCTGCCCCCGCCTCCCATCGACGCAGAAGAATCGATGGTTGGTGGCGGTACAGTGAGCCCGCGTCGTGAGGATGGGCAACTTTCCAAGACTACCCTTGCGTTCTTCCCCTTCGGTCCATCCCTGGCCGCTTTCGCTGGCCGCGTCCCGCCCGCAAAGTGTCGACATGGCCTTCCAAGGCCCTTGCATCCTTACCGCGCTTCCTTCCTCATTATACAGGTTGACTGTAGGGTTCGGATGCCGCCACCTGCGGGGTGCAGCTCCAGTGGGCCCCGCGGTGCCCTCGGGCCCCCCCCGCCCTCGGGAGCGCCGGGCGCGCTCTGGTCCTTCCTGGGGTCGAGTGCAGAAGCGCGGGGACCATGGCCAAGATGCCGCGAGTTCTTGTGCAGCCAGCCCGCCTAACAAGGACGCACGATGAGGATGCACGTGCCTTGGAAGGTCATGCCGACACTCTGCGAGCGGGGCGCGGCCAGCGAAAGCGGCCAAGAATGGGCCGAAGGGAACTAGTTCTGGCGCGTTACAAAGGATAGCCTTGCCGCGCGACCTTCGTCGTTCGCTCTCCTGCCATGTTCGCCCTGGCAGTCAGGTTCTAATGGGCCACGTCGTCGTCGAGCGCACGCACAGAATTCTGACAGAGATGCCCTCCGCTTCGGAAGGAATCACACATGTTCTATGTTTCCTTGCTCTGCACGCTTTGGTTGTCACTGCAGCCACTTATGAGGTGGATATCGGGTCTCACGGATCTCGCGGTCGCCCCCCGCTCCCAATGTGCCGACCCCAAGCGAACGACGGAAGAAACGTGGTCGACTGCGCCGGCATTGGCGCGTAAGCTGCCCGCGTAAGGTCGCGCGTAGGCGCCCTCGTTTCGAATGTGGCGTGCCCCGCTGGCGGCCCGCGTAAGCCGCGGGGGAAGGCTGTTGTGCCATCTCGAGCAGTGCCCCCGTCTTTCCGCCGCCAAGATCAAGCCAAGTCAGCCATGCTCTGGCCAGGGCCTCATCCCTGCGTGCAGCCGAACCGCCGCCGAGGCCGCGGGCGTCGGTGGCGCACGGCTGAGAGTCTTTGGCAGTCCCGGCTTGGAGACGCCGCGGAGTGCTTCCGTGGGAGCAGGGGCGTGAGGAGCACGAGAAGGGGAGGGGGGGAGGACGAGAAGGACGGGGAGGAGGAGGAGGAGGAGGAGGAGGAGGAGGAGGAGGAGGAGGAGGAGGAGGAGAAAGATGACCACCGCAAACCAACGACTTATCAAAGATGTTGGAATACATCCTCCCTCCAAGCTCCCTCGTCATAGGTCCCTACAGGTGTTCATGTTCACTGAGGGAATTGTCCTGTTGGTGGACAGCCGTGTAAAAATCCAGAGGCGTGTCCAAACACCACTCTCAGGATTTGAGCGCCACGAATTAACGTGATTATGAGGTCTTGGCGACTCAGAATCATGCCAGAACGCCACTCCTGGGACTTCAACAAAGCGAATCAACGTACATGTCGCGCCTTGGCGCCCTGACAGCCATGAATCACTCCAACACATTATTTCTGGTGCATTTACCATGCTAATTCGTGACAATTGTGTCAACGTTTCGTAGAACGAGTGTGTGCGGCGCTAAGGCGAGAGCTACATTTTGAGAGGGAACCGCTCTCAATCCGTGAACGTCTTGCGAACTTTTAACACGAATGTGCGCGGCGCTAGTGGCAGCGTCCGCATACCGCCCCCGACCATTTCGGCACACCCCTCACACGTTTCGTGCCCCCCAGGGAGCTCCACTGAAGGCCCCAGTGGCAGCGTTCGCATGCCGCCCCCGACCATTTCGGCACACCCCTCACACGTTTCGTGCCCCCCAGGGAGCTCCACCGAGGGCCCCAATGGCAGCGTTTGCATGCCGCCTTCCGACTGTTTCCCAGGCACCCTTCACACGTCCCGGGGCACCACATCAGGTCCCTTGCGAATCGTACGGGTTTGCTACAGCTCTCTCCACGTATTCTCGTGTATTGAGGTGTCCTGCTTGTAGTCGCCTCGTGTTTTAGAACATAGGGGCTGGGTTCTTCGCCAGGATCGTTTTTCAAACTGTGGCTCTCGCCTCCGCGCCGCGCAACTTCGCATTCCAATGTTGCAACAGTTTCGAGGATGGGGGGCGGGCCCTTTTCAACATGTGGCTCCCGCCTTAGCGCCGCGTACATTCGCTTTAGACGTTTGGAACAGTTTTTGTGATCCGTATGGCTGAAGTCCCAAGCATGGTGTTCTGGCACGATTAGACATGATGCAGCAGTCACGTTGATTCGCGGTGTTGAAATCCAAGGAGTGGTGCTCTGACACGATCTAGGACTGACGCGAACTTGGAGGCGGGGTAGATTGCAACATTGTTGATGCGTCTTGGGTTGGCACTGGTCCACCTCCTCCTCTTCATCACAATGCTCCTCGTCCTGCTTTGACCTGACTCTTCGGAGGCAGGCCACCGTCCTAGTCCTCCTCCTCCTCCTCCTCCTCCTCCTCCTCCTCCTCCTCCTCCTCCTCTTTGGACCTGCCCAAAAGGGCACGGACCTGTGTGCCCGACTCTGGCGCCCTCGCCTCGCCTCGCCTCGCCTCGCCTCCTTGGACCTGCCTCTTCGGAGGCAGGTTACCGTTCTAGTCCTCCTCCTCCTGCTCCTGGTCCGGCTCCTGCTCCTGCTCCTCCTGCTCCTCCTGCTCCTCCTGCTCCTGCTCCTGCTCCTGCTCCTGCTCCTGCTCCTGCTCCTCCTCCTCCTCCTCCTCCTCATGCTCCTCCTCCTCCTCCTCCTCCTCCTCCTCCTCCTCCTCCTCCTCCTCCTCCTCCTCCTCCCCCTGGACTCCTCATTTTCATCCTTCGACCACTCGCGGGAGCGAGCAGTCAAGTTGATTCGTGGCGTTGGGTCAAGGCGCAACAGTCAAGTGGATTCGTGGCGTTGAAGTCCCGAGAATGGTGCTTGGAACGCTTCAGGATCTTCACACGGTTGTCTCCCAACGGGGCACTTCTTCCAGTGGAAAAGAATCCGTGTAGGAGCCTATGAAGGGGGAGCTTGGAGGGAGGGTGTATCATTCCAGCATCGCTGATGAGTCTTAGATTTGCTCAAATTGTCGTCCTCCTCCTCCTCCTCCTCCCCTCCTCCTTCTCCTCCTCCTCCTCCTCCTCCTCCTCCTCCTCCTCCTCCTCCTCCCCCTCCTGCTCCTCCTGCTCCTCCTCCTCTTCCTCCTCCTTCTCCTCCTGCTCCTCCTCCTCCTCTCCCCCCTTATTTTCATCCTCGGCTCCTCCTCCCTTTCCTCGATTCTGCGCTTTTTTTTCGACCAGTCGTTGGAGCGAAGAATCGAATCGCCCTTCTCCTCCTTGCTCGCCTGCCTCGCCTTCTCCTCAGGGCACTCCGGGTGGGTGGGTCGGTCGGATCGGGCCACGACTGCTTCCCTCCTTCCCTTCTCCTCTTCTGGCAACCTCGCGCCGTGATAAAAAAACACGACAGAAGATTTTTGGCCTGTGGGGCCATCACCAGGCACCGGGGCGATTTCGACACGATTCGGGATGAAGAGCGGGTTGCCTCCGGGAAGGCGCGGTCCTTTCCCGTTCTCTTCCCCGCTTTGCCTCTCCCTGAGCAGCATGCGCGCCTCGGGCTGAGGAGACCGAGCGCCGCTTCGACAGTCAGTACACCATCAACGAGGTGAACTTGCTTGGCGAGGGCACATATGGCAAGGTCCACGGCCCAGGGTCCACTTCGATACGATCGGTTCGATCCGATATCGATTCTGGCCGGCCCGATTTGGTTCGATCCCGACGTTCCGACGAGCGGGTGCGGCGCGATGCCTGCATGGCGCTGTTGTGCATCCTGTCGTGGCCGTTTCAATCCGATTCCGACTCCCTGCCGATGCTGTCCAGTTCGATGCGCGTTTCGATCCGGTTTGCCGAGTCGGTGCTGACTTGTCCTGGCCGGGAGGAGGCAGTGGAAGCTTGGTCACAGCGGCACCACGCCACCACCGCGCGCTGCCACCGCGCCGCATTTGGATTGCAGATGGCTCGCGCATTGCTGCCATCTGCTGCGTGGAGATGATCGCCGAGCCCAACCGTCGGACCCAGCCTCAGCGGCAGGATTGCCACGCCCAGGCGAGCGATATCAGGAAAGGTTTACCTCCAGGCCGCAAGAGCCTTGTCGCCCCTGTCTTGGGGGGGGGGGCTCCAGCAATATTCGGCGCGAGCGCACGCGCGTTGCACGATGCATCTTCCTGGAGCAGCTCGTAAGGCCACGCGCACTGCGCCTGCCGCGCGGCTCCCGGGCAGCTCCTCTTGCTTGCGCCAGAGGCCCCCAGAGGCGTCGGAGGTTTCCTCCTCCTTTTCCTCCTCTTCCTCGACTTCTCTTCGACTCGTCCTCCTCCACCTCCTCCTCCTCCTCCTCCTCCTCTTCCTCCTCCTCCTCCTCCTCCTCGACTCCTCGACTCCTCCTCCTCCTCCTCCTCCTCCTCCTCCTCTCCTCCCTCCTCCTCCCTCCTCCTCCTCTCCTCTCTCTCCTTTTTTCCTGCTGCTGCTGCTGCTTCTCTCCTCCTCCTCCTCCTCCTCCTCCTCCTCCTCCTCTCCTCGCCTCCTTCCTCCTCCTTTTCCTCCTCCTCCTCCTCCTCCTCCGCCTACTCCTTCCTGCTTTTTCCTTTTCCTCCTCATCCTCGGCTCCTCCTCCTCCTCCTCCTCCTCTCCTCCTCCTCCTCCCTCCTCCTCCTCCTCCTCCCCCTCTCCTCCCCCTCCTCCTCCTCCTCCTCCTCCTCCTTCTCCTCCCCCGCCTCCTCCTCCTTTTCCTCCTCCTCCTTTTCCTCCTTTCTCCTCTCCTTCCTGCTCCTCCTCCTCCTCCTCCTCCTCCTCCACCTTCTGTTTCTCCTCCTGCTGCTGCTGCTGCTCCTCCTCCTCCTCTCATCGACTCCTCCTCCCTCTCCTCCTTTTCCTCCTCCTCCTTTTCCTCCTCCTCCTCCTCCTCCTCCTCCCCCTCCTCCTCCACAACTCCGCCTCCTCCTCGACTCCTCGGCTCCTCCATCTCCGTCCCCTGAGGCCTCCAGATGCCCCAACGAGCGCGAGAAATGTGTTGAGGCGTCGAGCTCCGCACGCTCGTTGTGGTGCGCAGTCTCCGCCGGGGGCCCGGCCGTCCTCGACTGCCCTTTGCGGCAGGTCTACAAGGCGCGCTTCAACCGGACGGGCCAGACGGTGGCGATGAAGTGCTGCCTGCGGCATTAAATCCTCCGCCGCCGCAGCCGCCTCTGAGGAGGAGGGTGCAGGCAGAGCTCCCTTCTCCACCTCCTGCGGCTCCCCCCTTCCCCCTCCTTGCCCCTTCCCTCCCCCTCCTCTTCCTCCGCCTCCTCCTCCCTCTTTAGTCCTCCCCTTCCACCTCTCTTCCCATTCTTTCTGCCCCTCCGCATCCTCCAAGCTCCTCATCCCCATCTTCTCGCCTCATCCTTTTCCTCCTATTTCGGCTCGTCCTCCCTCTCCCCCTCTTCCTTCTCCCTCCCCCCTCGCCCCCCTTACCTTCCCGCTTTTGCCCTAATCTGCCTCCCCCTCCCTTCTCCTCACCACGCGCCTGCTCCTTATTTGTGCACCTCCAGTCTTCGCGCTCCACTTTCCTTTTCCCCCCTTCTCGGCTTGTTGTGTGGTGCGCTGGGTTTGCCCAGCGGGAGCAGTTGTTCCTTCATATTCAATCTCAGTCATTTGTTTACCCCGTCCCCTCGCCTCGCACTCCAACACCTTTTTATCCCGCTCGGTTATGCTTGTTCCCGGTACCCATCCTCTCCCTCCTCCTCTTCCGCATGGTCAAACTAGCCAACACCATTAGACACAATGGTTAACAACAGTACACATACATCTGTACACATGATCCACCAACAACTTCTAATGGCCAATCTCCTCAATCATCTCTCGTCCTCCCACATTTATGTGATTAATATAAAGGTAATGCTCATAGCCATTCGCACGGTTCGTTTCATTCATCCACGATTCGTCTCATTCTTGTTGTACACGTGTGAGAGTGTACGGCCCCTCCCGAGGCTCTCAGTATGGAGCCAGGGCCAGACGGGCCCTGGCATGCAGGACAGGCCCAAAGAGGCCCTTTGTACGTGGCCCAAGAGAGGCCTGGACTGTTTGGAGCGGGGTTCCCGCCATAGCTCTTCAGAGGCTCAAGATATCATCGAGTCCAGATCATCATATCTGCATGGTGACAGGTGTGAGATAGCGAACCTTCCCTGAAGGCTAGTGGCGCCAGCGCGCCATGGCAGCCGAGGCGGCAGCGGCGGGGGTGCAGCTGCTAGATTCCAGAGGCGTCGGGCAAGTGCCGACGTTCACGGGGAAGAGGGAGGGATGATTTCGAGGATTGGATCTTTATTCTGCATGCCCGCTCTGTATCATTTTTCTTCTCCTTTCCCCTTCATCCCTTCTTATCTCCTTCCCCTCTCCTGGCCCCCATGCCTCCTCTCCTCCTCCCCTTCCCTCCCTCCCTCCCCGCCAGGAAGATGAAGCTCGGCTCCGAGGACGAGGAGGGCCCCCCCGAGTGGGGGGGGAGTCCGCGGCCCGGCCAGCACCCCCTACCCCTCCCCTTTTGTGGCTATCGGGCAATAGCTTGGCTCTCCGGCGGCTGTTCCGGACGGTCCTAACACCCCGGAACGCTCTCGGCGAGGCGCAGCCGCTGGAAGGCATCCCGAGGCTGGAACGCCGACGAGAACCGACGAAAGCGCCCCTCCCTGACGTTGGCCCCGCCCTCGTCCTCCCCCTTCCCCTCCCCCGTTTTTCCCTTCTCATCCTGCCCAGCCTCCTGCCAGCCGCCCCTCCCCATGCCACGCGTGTGCCCCTCCCCGTGCCCTTTCCCCACTCTCCCGTGGCCCCTCGTTCTCTTCCTCTTCCTCGCTCCTCCTCCTCTCGCTCCTCCTCCTCCTCCTCCTCTTCCTCCTCCTCCTCCTCCTCCTCCTCCTCCTCCTCCTCCTCCTCCTCCTCCTCCTCCCTTGAGGGCCTTCAGGGTGCTGTAGTTCTCGAGGCGATTGGATTCATCGGATCATTGGTGCTGCTCTGCGCTACTCCTCCTCCCTTCTCCTCCTCCTCCTCCTCTCCTCCCTCCTCCTCCTCCTCCCTCCTCCTCCTCCTCTCCTCCTCCTCCTCCGTCCCTCCTCCTCCTCCTCCTCCTTCCTCCTCCCTCCTCCTCCTCCCCTCCTCCTCCTCCTCCTCCTCCTCCTCCTCCTCCTCCTCCCCTCCTCCTCCTCCTCCTCCTCCTCCTCCTCCTCTCCTCCTCCTCCTCCTCCTCCTCCTCCTCCGCCTCCTCCTCCTCCCTCCTCCCTCCTCCCTCCTCCTCCTCCTCCTCCTCCTCCTCCTCCTCCTCCTCCTCCTCCTCCTCCTCCTCCCTCCTCCCTCCTCCCTCCTCCCTCCTCCCTCCTCCTCCTCCCTCCTCCTCCCTCCTCCTCCTCCTCCTCCTCCTCCTCCTCCTCCTCCTCCTCCTCCTCCTCCTCCTCCTCCTCCTCCTCTTAGGCATTTCCAGGTCTGGATAGAAACCTTTTGGGTCGCGCTCTTGGAAGTGGCACAGCGGCCCGGAGCCTTCAATTACGACTACGCATCGGTCCTCCCCGGTGCCTCCCCGCAAGGCCGATGGGCAGCCCGGCGCGCCGCCGCTGCGCCAGTGGCACTGCTCGGGCTCTTGCGGAGGGCACAGAAATGGGGGCTGGAGGACCTCGTGCCAGGTCTGCGGGACGGCTGCTCCGCCCTGGGCGCTGGCAGCCGTCGCGCGCCGTGGCACGCAGGAGCCAGCGTCCAGGTCTGCTCCGCCTCATCGTGGCAAGTGGAGCCGCGGGCCGCCCGGCTCCGACGAGGACTCGGGCACTGCCATCAAGGAGGCTGTCGAGCAGGCCAGCCCGGCGGGCAGAAAGGCGGTGCAGCAGGAGTTCCAGCAGGCGCTGCTGGGCGACCCGCTGCTCGGGCCTTCCGAGGCACAGCAGCGGGCCATCACCCTCAAGATGGGCGGGGCGCAGGCCGAGGAGGAGGAGGAGGAGGAGGAGGAGGAGGAGGAGGAGGAAGAGGAGGAGGAGGAGGAGGAGGAGGAGGAGGAGGAGGAGGAGGAGGAAGAAAAGCCTGCCGACCTCGGCTCCGATACGCTTCAGGATCTGCTCCAACGGGTCAAGAAACACGAGAAGCAGGTGGTCAACAGCACCGAACGCGTTCACCAGGCGCGTGAGGCCGCAGATGCGGCGGCCAGGGCGCTGCGGGACGAGGAGGCGCTACTGGGTCGGCACCAACCGCCTTTCAAGGAACTCAAACAGACCGTCAAGGATAAGGAGATCGCGGAGGCCGTCCCGGTGTTGGGGGACACGGCCGCTACCCTCGGCCTGGCTGGCGCCGACCAGGCGCTGGCTGTCATCCACCAACTGGCCGAGACGCTGTCGCAGTTCAAGGCCTTGCCTGGGCTGGCAGCCTACGCCTGGCAGCTCCACGCGACCGTCAACGAGCAGCGGCAGGGGATCGTGCAGCAGCAAACTCAGGCCGCCGCCGAGGCTGCACGAGCGGAGGCAGAGGCCAAGCAGGCCGATGATCGGGATGCTGCTTCAGCCGCTCCTTCTGCTGGCTCGGGGCCTGGCGACGGCGCCGCCATGGCGGTCGACGGCGGCGGGCTCGACGTCGACCTCGACGATCCCGAGCCGGCCGGCATGCTCAAAGAGGCTTGCCTCGGGGAGTTCGACCTGTCCCGTGAGGCCGCCAAGGAGAGGGTCAAGAGGGCCCAGGCTGTGCTGTTCGCCGCCAGCAAGAAACAGCGGCTGGGGTACCCTGGCCTTCGCGAGCGGCAGCTCGCCGTGGGCCTCGGCCCCCGACATCCTCACGGCGAACGTGACGGCCTGGCCTTCTGGCCTGGACCTGCTGGTGGGGCGCCTGGCTGCGGTTGCAGCCTCGGTGGCCCCGGGCATCCCGTGCGGGAGCAGTGGAGGCGGCGCGGGTGCGCCCACCGCGCCCCGCGTGGCGCTGCCGCAGGAGCACCGCCTCAAGGAACCGCGCCTGGTTGACTCAGCCAGGACTTGGGCTTCGCAGGGCGACCGCAACGGCCAGGCGGAGTCCACGGGCGGCGAGGCGAACCAGTCGTCCAGCGGCGTTGGCGTGTTCAGCCCTTTGCCGTAGCTGGATGGCTTCGGTGCGCTGCAGGAGGGGAGTTCGTGGTATCACTTTGTTGGTCGCTCTGGCTGATCTCTGCGGGGGGCCTTGCCACGAAGCCAGTTCCAGTTCGGGGTTGTGAGCGCGGGCTTGGGAGTGCCGCTTTACTTTATCAGCCTTTGCCTCGCGACGTAGGTCGGGCTGGCGGAGCCGAACCTCGCGCGCCTCCAGATGCTCCCAGTGGGGCTCGCGGGCCGCAAAGGGCCTTGGGCGGTGGGGGGTGGCTAGAACCCGGGGCCCGCGCAGGTCCAGGAGTGAGCTCGTCTTGCCCAGGGCGTCGCGGTGGCGCCCGTTAGCCCCGCCTGCGGGGAGCGAGTGCTAGATCTCTTCGTTGTGCCACGCGTTCTGGGAAACTTCGCTTGCAGCGTGGACGCGGTGGACGGGGCGGCCATCCGCGCGCATGTGCCAGTGATGCTGCGGCCCCATGGGTTCCGCGCGGAAGCCAAGGTGTCGAGAGCAGTGCTCCCTGCGGCGTGCCCCATCGTGCTGCCCTCGGCCCCGCTGGAGGGCGACGGCGCGTGGCTCTGGGAGGCAGGCAACCTCCGTGCCGGGGCGCTGGCCCAGAGGGCTGAGGCTTACCTCTCCTGCCTGCGCAGCTGCTGCAACCGCGTCCGCTGTCTTCACAGGCCCGAAAACCATCACGTCATTAATTTTGTGCCCCAGGGCCCACTGAGGCCGCAGGGGCCCCAGATTAGTGAAGTGATGTCCTATCCCACGTATGGAACCCGAAATTCATCACTTCACTAAACCGAGCCCAGGACGAAAGTCAGGGGCCGAATTGCTGCTGTGATGCAACATCGGTCTCGTAATGTCTTGGTCTCCGAGGGCAGCGGGCCCTCTTCGTCGTCGAGTGGCAGAGTCAGCTCGAGGCGCGAACTTCTGCTGAGTACCGCTGCTGGGCTGGGCTGTTGGCGGCCAGCCAGCGCGCGTGTGCCTTAGCATTATTTCCCACGGGGCGTTCGATTGCCCGTGCTCTGCCAGGCGCGCGGACATGCCGAAATCGCTCGGTGTCGCTGCCTGTCGAGTGAGCAAGTTGGGCGCTGACGAGGCCGAGTTTTTTTCGCGGTGCCTTTCTCTTTCCTCTGAGCTTTGTTTCGGTCGGCCCGAGGCTCCAGAGGGGCGCTGGGTCAAGTTGATTGGCGCCCGTCCTGGGTGGCTCTGGGGGGGGGCCATCTCCGTGGACGGATCGGCCTTCAGCACCAAGCACGGGCGGGCAACTTTGCGGCCTGCGTGTGCGGGGTGGTTCCGAGGGCTTGGGGCCCTGAGCAGTGGGCGCGGGGCGGGGATGATGGCGCGTTTCAAATGCTTGCTCGTTTTTTCGGAGCCTCCGCCTGAAGGTAATTCCGGGGTGCCGCTCGAAGTGCAGCATTCAGCGATTGTGCCGGGCTCCGTGAGCTGCGCCGCGGATTCGGCCAAAGTTTTGGATCCTCGGAACGAGCTGCGCCGCCATTGGAAGCTTTGGCGGGGCAAGGTAGGCTCTTCCGCATCTGTCGTGAGGGTCGAGGCACATCGGAGCCTCCAGGATGCTTCATTTTTGGAAGATTTGTGGAAGCTTCGTGGTAATCGCCTGGCGGATGAGTGGGTGAAAAAAGAGGCTCAGTTTTGGGAAATGCCCTCGGGGCAGGAAGTCTTTGCGGGGTCTTGCGAGCGTGGGGCGGAGGGCGCTGCTGCGTGGATGGGGAAGTTCTGTGGGCCGCTTCACTGGGCAGGCCTCCAGGACACTGACGGCGTCGGCGGAGCGCCCGATATCGTTCTTGACTTCGATTTCAACGCTTCGAGCCTCGGGCCTGACGAGCGAGTGGGCGAGGCATGGTTAGTGGTCGTGGCTCCAGTCTCGCATTGCCCTCCCGCCTGGGGCGTATCCCGGCCCGGCCAGAGCGGCTGTGCCGCCCGCGGCGGCGTCGATCGTTGCAGCCGGAAGCGATTGCAGGATGCTGAGGCCGTGGTTGTTTCAGGGGCATGAGATCGTTCAGGCCGAGGTGCACGGCTCCGACGGTGAGCCGCCTGTTCTGTTCTGCACGGGTTGCGGCGCCTGCGTGCAGAAAGCTTCAGACCTGGTTCAGTGGTCGCCAGCATCTCCAGGGGCAGCGGGCATCCAGGGCTGGCCACACAAAGGAGCAGGCTTCGAAGAGGCTTGCATCCAAATTCAACTCTGTCCCCGCCCCCACGGCTCGAGTCGGTCGTCTGTCCGCCGTTGGAAGTCCGTAGGGAAGCTGAGAGTGTCTTCTGGTTCGGGGTCAGGGGCTGGCCCATGAGTCCCTCGATATATACAGGGTCGCTGCGTTGCATGGCTTCCCGTGGTTGATTGGTGCCTCACGGAACGCGCGAGGGAGGCAAGGGAGCGGCCGACCCAAGG